TGGCTGCCTAAGAGCAAAGGAAAAGGACAGAAAACAAATGGTTAAACTGACAGGGTTATCAGTTTACAGATAACTTAGTAAACTGCGAGAAAAAGGCAATCTTATCCATAGCCTAATCTCCAGAAACCTATAGACTCTGTTTCCTGGAGCCCTAATATCACCCTCATCAAGATGTAAGGGGGGGTTTAAGTGGTTGCCATGGTGATGTGGGAAACTAAGGCAAATGAAAAATCAAATTCCCGGGGCACCTGGGTGGCTCAGTCGGTTGAGCATCTGACTTCAGCTCAGGTCATGATCTTGCAGTTCGTGAGTTTGAGCCCCGCATCAGGCTCTGTGCTGACAGCTCAGAGCCTGGAGCCTGCTTCGGATTCTGTGTCTCCCTCTCTCTACCCCTTCCCCACTCATGCTCTGTCTCTCAAAGATGAATAAACGTTAAAAAAAATTAAAAAAAATTAAATTCCCTTATGGCCAACATCCCACTGACAAGTCCTTGAAACAGGCAGAGTGACCTCCCTCTAGGAGCTCAGCTGCCTTGATGATGACACTTTGCTAGGGGCAAAAGGGTATCTTGGCTTAACATTATCCTGTCTGCCCCACCCCAACCAGGATCCTGTGAGTCTCTTTAAACACATAAAAATTCCTTTGCAAACTTCCTTTTTCTTTAACCCCCGAGTATATATTGGCAATTATACTCCAAGCATATGGCCCCTGATATACATCTGAAGGCTCTCATGGCTGAGGTTTTACTAACAGTAATAAATGATGTTTTCCTAACAACAGCCAGCCCCTCAAGATCCTGGAAACCTTGCTTCCAAAATACCTTAGAGACTTTCTCTATCCCTGACCCCCTCCCAACCTGAGGATATATAATGAGTTACCCATCACGACCCCAGTACAGCTCTTCATGCCCATGGGTCTTGTGCCTGTGCATTAATAAAATCACTGTTTTGCACCAAAGACATCTTCCAGAAGTCTTTCTTGACTGTCAGCTCCAAACCCCACCATTACTCCCAAAACCCTATCAGCAAATATTTTTCTGATTTAAATCAGCATATGATCCTGAAGCATAAGCGTACTGATTCAGATGTGTGTCAAGCATGCAAGAACAGTTTCTCTACCAACGTGCTTCTGATCGAACACGCAAACTGCATGAAGACGAGCCCTACATTTATAGATACTGTGACTATAAAACAGTGATTTTTGAGAATCTCAGCCAGCACACTGCAGACACCCATTTTATTGACCACCTTTATTGGTGTGAGCTGCACAATGTACAGTTCTCCTCATGCAGTGACCTCGACCTACATTTCCAGGAGCACAGCTGTGATGAATGGTACTTGTGTCAGTTTCGTGAGCATGAAACAGTCGACCCAGAAGACTTCCACACCCATGTGGTAAGTGGACATAACTAAAGAGTTAATCATAAATATAACCACGGAGAAGATGGACAGCTACAGCCTCTTCAGCAAAATTACCTCTGACAAATGTAAAAACTTCTTTGTATGTCAAGTATGTGGTTTTCGGAGGAGACTTCTTGCAAATGTTAACAGGTGTTGCTACAGAGATACTTAAATTTCTCCTCATGCTTGTGATGACTGGGAAAGGCTTTTCAAGGATGCTAGAATATTGCAAACAGTTGAATTCACATTTATCTGAAGGGGTTAATTTATGTCAATATGGTGAATATTCGACAAGACAAACTGAAGAACTTAATATTCATCTAGATTTCAAGCACTAAGCTGACTTACCTTATAAATGTAGTGACTGCTTCATGGGGTTTAGGAAGTGAGAGAGAATTAAGAAGTCACCTTCAAGTCCATGAGACAACTTAATTACTTTCTTTAACTTCCATAATGTTAATGTAAAATAATAAATTTGAGTTTTATGGGGATGTTTAAAAAAACAAATGTTTGTACAGTAAAAGATGAAACATTAGGGGTGCCTGGGTGGCTCAGTTGGATAAGCATCTGACTCGATTTTGGCTCAGGTCATGATCACACGGTCCTGAGATCAAGCCCCTCATTTGGGCTCCAAACTGGACATGGAGCCTGCTTAAGATGATCTCTCTCTCCCTCTGACCCTCCTCCGCGCTCTCTCTCTCTCAAATAAAAGATGAAACTTTAACATAGCAACCGAGATGACCAGTTCTATAGATACATAAAACACATTTGATGATGCACATGAAAACGATGTTTCTCTTTTTATTGAAGAATAATTGACATACAATACTGGATTAGTTGCAGGCATACACATAACGCTTTGATATACATACACACCATGAAAGGGTCACCACAGTAAGTGTAGTTAGCATCTGTCAACATACAAAGGTGTTACAGTGTTACATTGACCATATTCCAAATATGGGTACGCTATATCTCTTGTCTTCATTATTTTATTTATAACTCAGACTGTATCTCTTAATCCCCTTCACCCATTTCCTCCATTCCCTCCCATTCCCCTCCACTAAGTCTTGAATAGATGTGACACTCAGTCCTGCACAAAGGCCATCCAATGAAAACCACAGCAAACGTGATTAGGGGAGCAACTTTATAACCATGCCTGAAGAGAAGAATGCCTGGTATCAGTGCGATCTCACAAAAACAGATATGCATATTTGACACAGAAAAAGGAAAGATTTACAGGAACTGTCATAACAATGAAAGCAAGGCATCAACGACTAGACTTCAGCGTCGTGTCCAACGTAAATGACAATGACGAAATCAAGGCCTAGAGACGGGATGGACTGAATGCGGTAGACAGACTATGTGATGGACTGTCGGGCTTAACGATAAGGGACGTGCAGGGAGGCCGGCAGGAAACCATTTACTGCCCAGGCTGTGGGGTGAACCCATTCTGTGGGAATCACAGCTCGCGCCCGCCGCCTGCCCCCGCCCAAGGCCGCGCCGCCTCCCCATGAACACCTGCCTTGTCCCTCCAAGGGATCTAGGCCTTAGGCCCAGCGCGAAGCCCACGCTCGAGGGAAGCCTTATAGTTCTGCTGTCTAAGCTGTGGAAGTTCTGCCTGCCCCCTCGATTCCCGCAGAAGTGGAAGTGGCGTCACGCGCTCGCCGGGGTTCCTGGCAGCTTGGCGGCAGGGGTTGAGCCCGTTGGCTGGCAGTTGGGTCTGACGGGCCGGCCGTGGTGGGGAAGGCGTGAAGGGAGGCAGGAGGTGGGAGCCGCCGTCGGTTTTAATGGGGTCGGTCCCCCTAATCTGCCGGGTCATGCGCGCGTGGCTCTATTGTCCGCCTAGATGTTCCGTCCGACAGGCCGCGCCGTGAGGCTGGCGAAAAGCTCAGCGCGCGCGGAGCCTGCCGTGGTCCTTGGTGCCGGGAGGGCGCGTGCAGGTAAGTGTTCGTAACAATTGTGCTCGCCTGTCCTGCAGTGTGCAAGCGGCCTTTGTGACTTTTGTCCCAAAGGAAAAGAGTTTGCCATGAGTGGGTCCAGACTCCGGGCCCCGTTACTCAGGCAGAAGCCCCAGGGACCCGGCCAGTCGGTGAGCTGGGTTCTGGAGCTGGTCTCAAGCGGGGCCCAGGTGTGCAGTGTTTCCCTTTCTGTAAGGGGCAGGCAGTTTTATCTGAGAATGTGGCTTTGTCTGCGCTCGCTTTCTTCTCGGGACACTGTCTGTGCGGTGATATAGCTTTCTCGATGTGTGTGGTGTTTCAGTACCTAGTTATACACACGTGCGTTCCGTCTGTACTAGAGTGAGAAAAGCCGCTTTCACGTCGTTTTCTTTTTCCCTGAGACCCTCCTGAGCCTGTCCATTCCCACCAAGTTGCAAGCCAGGGACTTCGGGAGAAAAGAATGGAGGCGTGAATACTCCATTTTCAGAATAACTGGATTTCCCATTAACAGGGCATTTGGACTGTTTTCCATTTAGTGGAAAGACATTTTTCTTTCATAACATCTTAAACCTAAAGGAAATGTAAGCAACTACTGCTATGAATGTACGTTCAGGTAGGTTCACCCATTTTTGCATTTTGCGTGGTTGCTCTCTCTAGATAAATGTATTTTTCAGTGGACTGTTTGAGAGTAAATAGGAAATAAATTGTAGATGATGCTTGACCTTCAAATACTTAGTAATGCATCTCCTAAATATAAGGACATTGTGCTACTAAAACCATAATACATTGATTCCACCCAAGAAAATGAAAAATGTTATCTAATATCTGCTCTGTAAAAACTAAAGTTTTTCACATTGTTTCAAAATACGTTTTTGGATGTTTCGGGATCTAGGATACAATCAAGGTTTATATGACAAATTTTTATGTCTCTAAGTCTCTTTAAAGCTAGAGCAGGGGGGTGCCTGGGTGGTTCAATGGGTTAAGCCTCAGACTCTTGATTTCAGCTCAGCTCATGAGATACAGCCCTTTGTTGGGCTGACAGCATGGAGCCTGCTGGGATTCTCTCTCCCCGTCTGTCTGCCCCTCCCCGGCTGGCGCGTGTGTTCTCTCTTGAAATAAATAAATATTTAAAAAAAAAATAAAGCTAGATCAGAGCCATTTTTTCTTCATAATACTGACTTGGAAGAGTCACATGTTCTTTGAAAACTTGTACTTAATGCTATTTGTGATTTTATTTCCATGGTGTGTTTAAATGTTTTCTTTATTTCTTGGAATTTTAGAAAGTGGCAATTGGGTTCAGTATAGAGTTAGTAGACTTTTTGTCTGAAAGGACAGAAGTAGTACATAGCAGGGGTGCAAGAGCAGCTGGCTCTGGGGTTCTAAAATCCCAGGTTCTAAAACAGACCGGGTTCTGTTACTGGCTGCTTACAAAATCAGAGAAGGGAGTATTGTTGAAACACCACAGGAATGTACGTCAGTAAGGCCCATGCCACGAAAATCAGCTACCTAAAGACTAAATTGTAATGTTAACCTGTAATAATTTGTATATTAATCAAAACAGGAAGGACATAGGAAAAGTGAAAGGCTAGTGTGTGTGTGTGTGTGTGTGTGTGTGTGTGTAGTATATAGTGTATAGTATATAGTATATATAAATAAACACATGCACATAAATAAACAAATACAACAAGCATAGACAAAACATGTCAACCCAGTATATTTTAGGTTTAGTTTAGGTTTCTGGAATTGGCCTTGAGGTGATTGTCCATCGTTCACTTCTTCAAGGCTAATCCCCTACTTCCAGGCCTTGGGTACGTTGGGTGTTGGCATTAGTCTTTGCAGTTCCCCCAGCAGTGTTTGTATTATTTCTGGATGATTATGTCCAGTGGTGGGGTATTCCAGGATCCTCCTTTTAGATTTTCCTGCCATAATGGTTCTTACGCTACGGGTCAGAGATAAGGGAATTCTGCCAGTTGCCAAGAATGTCTGTATTGCAATTACACATTTAGACGCTGGTGAAAGAAAACCACAGAGTGGTAGCTTGCTGCAGCTGGGTTTAATCTGAGTTCATTGGAGTTAAGACTTTTTAAAAAGTTTTCTACCACCAGCCTCCACTTTGACTTGGTGGTGTGCCACAGTGATATATTGGATCCTTAGTACTTAGTGTCATCTTAGACATGGTGTGGAATAGTATTTTCTTTTCACCCGTGTATAGTCATTCTCATGAATGCTTATATGAAGGATCTGTATGAAGATTTTTAGTATGGATTGTGGTGATGGTGCAAAATCCTTTGCTGAAGGGGTTCTAAGTTTGTTCGTCTATGTCTGGAAGTTGGGTAGTGGGCTGTGATTTTCCACTGGGGTGAGTCAAGTCAGAGTTTTGGTTATTAGAGACTTATTCTTACAGACATCAAGTAAAATTCTAGTACACAGGTTGGCATACTGTGGACCCTGGGTCAAATCTGGCCCTCCAGCTATTTTTGTACGTAGAGCTTTATACAAACTTAAATGTATTCATTGGTTCTTTGAAACCACAATGACAGTTAAATATAGCACAGGGACTATTTGGCCTGCGTTGCCTAAAATGTACTGTATGGATCTTCAGAGGAAGTTTGTTGACCTCTGCTATACTAGGCTGCCTGTCTGTTTCATTGCAAGGGACTAATTAGTTTCTGATTAGTTAGCCACCACTAAAGATCTCTGCAGGACAAAGCATTCTGATTTCCTGTTTCATTCTCACTGGTCTTGACAGTTCATGTGCCCACTTTGTCTTTGGTAATTAAGTGTTGCCTACTTGACTTCTGCTACTCTGGGTCCTCATCATTCCTACTGAAATCAGGGAATCCATCTCAGTGATGGTATATCACCTACAATCATACCTGAAGTATAGAGGAGAATAACCACTTAGGCTTCAAGGGTGAAGGTGCTCCACTTACCCGTTTCTCAATAAAGTTGTGGAAAGAGTGTTCTGTTCCCTCAAGATGGGATGGGGAATGGGGGCTGTGTATCACACATGATAAATCCGTTGCAACATTCCTATCTCCCTAGGATTTGCTCCTTCACATTTTGTTGTGGAGTTCTGCTGGTATGTGAACTCTTTCTGCTGGTATGTGGGTCACCAATGAGTCTGTGGTGCCATCTAAGCTGTTAGAGCTTTCCCCAGATCCATGAGCTAGAATGTATTAAACCCAGACTGTCTAAAAAGCGCACCCATGTCAATGAATTTGGCCCAGTTTATTTGTTGTATTTCAGCCTTCTAGCTTTGGCATGCTTACAACTGTTTCTCCCATAGGGTACCCAGATTTCTTCTCCATATTACTGGAGTTGGAACTATTTTGTTGTGCAAGCTATTTTATCTTGCACTGTGTTGTATTCCTGTTACTGTGGATAGTGAACTGAACTACTTATGTCACCAGGGGCATAGCACGTAGTTTGGGTGGGTCTTGAGGAGGAGCATTTGCTTCCAAGACTTCTAACCCAAGTGAGATTTTTTCCTCAATATTTTTAAGCAGAGGAAGGGTCATTTCAGAAACGAAAGGGCAGGATAATTCCCTAATATGGGAGAGTCAGTGTCTTATGGATTCAAGATTGTGAGCTTCCTGTTGGTCCGACTAGATGTCCCCATTCCAGTTTTCAAGTACTCATTCCTCTCTCATCAGTGCCCTAATTTTCACACGAACAACTAGTTGAGACAGCCATTCTAATTGTGGTGTTACTTTTACCTGTGCAATTAAATTTCATGTTTGATTTTCAACAGTGTGAGTCCCGTGGCCACAAGAAATGTGCTTTTTAAGAGCTGTCTTGAAGCTTTCTGGTTCTCAGACCTTGAATTGAGCTTGTCGTAGTAAATCAGCATGTCATTTGGTGTGCAAGTCCAGCCATAAGAATCCTTGTACGCATCACTAGTGAGGTAGCAGCCAAACATAGCATTTACTTGGACTCCCAAGCAAGTGCTTTTGTTTGCCTATCTTCACAATGAGCTACAGGTGATAGCTTGATTTTCATAACGCAGCTGAATGTCTTTCCCATTGTCAGGGAGCTTAGCTCTTGGCTCCAGAACAAAGACTTGATGAAATCACACACTTGATGAATCTCCACATCTTATCTCTACCAGTGTACCTCCTGCAGTCACTGTCCGTCTCAATTTTGTATAAGTCCGGGTGTATGATCAGGAGACAAAAATCTCTCCTTGATTTCTAGATCTACATGGGAAGAGTTTACAAAGATGTAAAGAGCACTCTATCCTAGAATTGAACAATAATAAGGTAAGATTTGTAGGGGTGCCTTCTCCCCAAGACTGAGTCACATCTTATTTGTGAAGGTATCATTGCAGTCCATTGCTTGTGAATAAGTTGGCTGGGTTTCCTGGGGCAGAGGTGGTCAGCAGGCATTGGGCAAGCATTTGGAATGCAGACAAGCCAGGTATCCACAGGAAATAAGTGTTCAATTTGCAGACATTCCTGGCTGGTGGGTAAGTGCTCAGAAGACTGAGATCCCCATACACTTGTATTTCTAGAATAATTAACTGCATTTCCCAACACTTGGGATATATACTTTGTTAGAGACTGTTCTTTAAGTGTAATCTAGATGGAGACACATTAAGTGATGTAAAGTAGCTTAGCAGGTCTTGGTCAACAATCACTGGGTGCCCTCAATGAGCCAGGCCCCGTGACATGTACTGGAAAATAATGTTCTTCGAGCAGATGTAATGCTACCCTTAATATGCAAAGAGCTCTCCAAAAGAATGGAGATGCTGACAGGGGATGCTCCTGTCAGACAGCTTTTTGGGGAGATGAATATATTCTGTATTTTCCTTGTACTGCTCATTACACGAGTAAACATAAGTGTCAGAGCTCATCCTCAGAATACTTAAGATCTACGCATTTCATTGCATAGCACTTATATCTCAGTTAAAAAGAAAAACCATGGGGCGCCTGGGTGGCGCAGTCGGTTGAGCGTCCGACTTCAGCCAGGTCACGATCTCGCGGTCCGTGAGTTCGAGCCCCGCGTCGGGCTCTGGGCTGATGGCTAGGAGCCTGGAGCCTG